AGGATTCCCTCCATCCCTGCACAGGGAAATTATTCTCTACAGGTTCCATCTTAAACCTGGCTTAAATCCCCCCCTTCCCTGCCCTGAGCTCAGCTTATAAATTATTCTCCCAGAAAATCCCAGGAAATTCCATTTGTGCTGCTCCTCTGAGGAGCCCCAACCTCACAACATCAATAAAAATATTTTAAAAATATATATATATATATATATTTTAAAAACCATAAAAATAATCTGCAACCCCAAATTATTCTTTTAAATTTTTAAAATATTTAAATATATAAAATATTCAAAATATTCAAAAACCCCAAACCCATGGAATCTCCCATCAGGGCAGGAAGGATGGACAAGGCAGGGGCGTGGAACAAAATCTGAATTTTAGATGTAAAACATCAGGGCAGAGGTTTTTGTTTCACTGTTTGCATAATTGGTGACCACAGATAATCCCCTGAAATGACCTAAATTTGTCCCATCCGGGGGCTTTCCAAGCCCAGGTTGTTTTCTGAAATTTTGGTTTCAACTTTGCTTTTTTCTTCTTTTTTTTTTTTTTAATTTTATTATTTTTTCTTTCTTTCTTTCTTTCTTTCTCTCCTGGTGAATTCTGGTTCTAAAATGCTGATTTTTGGAGTAAAAATGAGATTTCACCCGGGGCTGCCTCGCTCTGGTTCCGAGCCTGAGTCAGTAAAAATGAGATTTCATTGGAGATTTCCTGGGAAAAGGGAACTGAGGCACCAAACAGCTGGGAAATGGCAAAGGAGGGCAAAAAACACTGAAAAATCAGGGGAAATGAAACATGGGATCAGGAGAAAATTCCCTGTGGGATCAGGAAGATTTTCCTCGTGAGATCAGCAGGAATTTTCCTACAGGATCAGAAGGAATTTTTCTATGGGAAATTTCCTCATGGAAGGAATTTCCACAGGAATTTCCTCATGGAATCAGCAGGAATTTTCCCATGGAATCAGCAGGAATTTTCTATGGGATCAGGAGGAATTTCCCTGTGGAATCAGAAGGAATTTCTTCAAAAAATCAGGAGGAAATTCCTCATGGAATCAGCAGGAATTTCCTCATGGAATAAGGAATTTCCTTATAGGATCAGGAGGAATTTCCCCATGGAATCAGGAGGAATTTCCTATGGGATCAGGAGGAATTTCCCCATGGAATCAGGATTTTCTTCATGAAATCAGGAGGAATTTTCCTAAGGGATCAAGAAAAATTTCTTCATCAAATCAGGAGGAATTTCCTCACGGAATCAGCAGGAATTTCCCTGTGGAATTAGGAGGAATTTCCCTATGGGATCAGGAGGAATTTCCTATGGAGTCAGGAGGAGTTTTCTATAGGATCAGAAGGAATTTCCCATGGAATCAGCAGGAATTTTCCTCAAGGAATCAGGAGGATTTTCCTATGGGATCAGCAGGAATTTCCCTGTGGAATCAGGAGAAATTTCCTTATGGAATCAGGAATTTCCTTCTAGGATCAGGAGGAATTTTCCTATGGAATCAGCAGGAATTTTCTATGGGATCAGGAGGAATTTCCCTGTGGAATCAGAAGGAATTTTCCTACAGGATCAGGAGGAAATTCCTCATGGAATCAGGAGGAATTTCACTGTGGAATCAGGAAGAATTTCCTATGAAATCAAGAGGAATTTCCTATGGGATCAGGAGGAATTTCCCCATAGAACCAGGAGGAATTTCTTAATGAAACCAGGAAGAATTTCACTGTGGAGTAAGGAGAATTTTCCTATGAAATCAGGAGGAATTCCCTCACGGAATCAGCAAGAATTTTCTCATGTAATCAGGAGGAATTTTCCTACAGGATCAGGAGAAATTTCCCTACTGAATCAGAAGTTTTCTATGGGATTAGGAGGAATTTCCCTATGAAATCAGAAGGAATTTCCCTACAGGATCAGGAGGATTTTTCCTATGGGATCAGCAGGAATTTCTTCATAGAATCAGGAGGAATTTTTCCATGGAATCAGGAAGATTTTCCTCATGGAATCAGCAGGAATTTCTTCAAAGAATCAGGAGGAATTTCCTTATAGGATCAGAAAGAATTTCCCCATGGGATCAGGAAGTTTTTCCTCATGGGATCAGCAGGAATTTCCTCATGGAATCAAGAATTTCATTACAGGATCAGGAGGAATTTCCCCATGGAATCAGTAGGAATTTCTTCAAAGAATCAGCAGGAATTTCTCCATGGGATCAGGAGTTTCTTCATGGAATTAGGAATTTCCCTATGGAATTAGGAGGCATTTCCTATGGGATCAGAAGGAATTTCCCCATGGAATCAGCAGGAATTTCCCTATGGAATTAGGAGGAATGTTTCCTACAGGATCAGGAGGAATTTCCCTGTGGAATTAGGAGGAATTTCCCTATGGAGTCAGGAGGAGTTTTCTATGGGATCAGAAGAAATTTCCTCATAGAATCAGGAGGAGTTTTCCTACAGAACCAGGAGGAATTTCCCCATGGAATCAGCAGGAATTTCTTCAAAGAATCAGGAGTAATTTCCTTATAGGATCAGCAGGAATTTCCTCATGGAATCAAGAATTTCATTACAGGATCAGGAGGAATTTCCTCATGGAATCAGCAGGAATTTCCTCATGGGATCAGCAGGAATTTCCTCATGGAATCAGGAGGAGTTTCCTATGGGATCAGAAGGAATTTCCCTACCAGGATCAGGAGAAATTTTCCTCATGGAATCAGCAAGAAGTTCCTCATGGAATTGAGATTTTTCCTTATAGGATCAGGAGGAATTTCCAGTCCCCATTCCCAGAGGTGTCCAAGGAATTCCTGGATGTGACAGAGCTGGTGACAAACTGGGGACCATTCCCAGAGATCCTGCAGGGATTTTCCAGCCCCAGCAATTCCAGGAACACACAGAAATGCTCCCACATTCCATGGAAAACTCCCATTTTTCATCACCAACATCCCAAAAAAAATCCCAATTTTATCCTTCAGCCAAGACCAACCTCACCCTGCCGAGCCCCTGGAAACCTCTGAGGGTTTTTTTTGCCATTTCCACTCCCAAGGAATTTCCTTTTTTAACCTTGCCCAAGCCAGGAAATCGCCTATCTAGGGCCAGCAGTGATCAAAATTTGGTTTTCCTGGAATTTTCCCCCATTTTTCTGCCCACACCCACACATTTTAGGCTTTTTAGGATCCTGAATTTTCATTTTTTTTTGCATTTCCAGCCTCTCCTTGTGGCTTGCAGAGGCTCCAGTTCTGCCCAGTCATCATGGGGAGGGAACAGCAGCTTGTGCAATGCTCCCTTCCCCCTTTTTTGGGGCCACAAACACCAGAAAAGGAGCAAAACCCAAAATAATAAAAATAACAACAATTTAAAAATAAAAATAAACAAACAAAATAACAAAAATTTAAAAAAAAATAACAAAACCAGAAGGCCCAAAAGGAACCACTGCGGTTTAAATAACAAAAATAACAAAACTTCTGACTCCTTTGCTAGGGTCAAAAGTTTTGTTATTTTGTTATTTTAGTTTTGTTATTTTTGTTAATAATTAAATGGCATAAATGGCAATATTAAATGGCAATAATTGCAATAATAAATGGCAAAAATGGCAATAATTAAATGGCATAAATAGCAATATTAAATGGCAAAAATGGCAATATTAAATGGCATAAATGACAATAATTAAATTGTATAAATTGCAATATTAAGTGACATAAATAGCAATAATTAAATGGCATAAATAGCAATTATTAAATGGCATAAATGGCAATTATTAAATGGCATAAATGGCAATATTAAATGGCAATAATTGCAATATTACATGGCATAAGTTGCAATTATTAAATGGCAGATCCCAGAAATTTTTGCTCTGTTCCTGAGTTTTGTGTGGATTTTATTTTATTTTATTTTATTTTATTTTATTTTATTTTATTTTATATATTTTTGTGTTATATATTTTTAATTCTAGGTTTATTATTATTTATATTTTATATATTTGATATATTTGAATTTTTATGTTATATTTTTATTTTTATATATTTTCTTTTATATAATTCTTATATTTTTATATATAAAATATTTAATTTCATATATAAAATAGATAAAATTTATATTTTCTATTATATATTTATTCTATATATTTTATATAAAAATATTTTACTTTATATATTTTATGTATAAAAGAAAACATATTGATATTAAAATTATTTAATATATTTTTATATAGGGAATATTAAAAATTATATACATATAAATGTATAAATTTTTATATAAATTTTATATGTATAATTAAAAAGTTCTATATAAAATATAAATTTTATATGCTTTCCAGCTTATCTGGGCAGCTCCCCCCGCGGTTATCTCCCGCACCAGGGTGAATTTTGGAAGCCAGCAGGCTCCAAACATGTGCAGGGCTGATTATTTCCACAGCCTTGAAAAAAATGTGCTAAAAAAAGAAGAAAAAAGGAAAAAAAAGGGAAAAAAAGCAAAAAAAAAAGGGAAAAAAAGGGGAAAAAGGGGGAAAAATGGGGGAAAAAGGGAGAAAAAGTTATAGGAGAAGAAATTCAAGTGTCAGGGGTTGCCAGACGCCTCGGAGCGGGGAGATGAACGGGATGCGGCGGAAACGCGCGGGGGATGGCGCAGTGTCCGTCTGTCTGTCCCCGTGTCTGTCCCGTGTCCCCCCCCAAGATGGCAGCAGCGCCCCACGTGCGCCCGTCCCGCCAGAGCACCCCTGGCCCCGCCCCCTCCGCGCCGCTCAGCCCTCTGATTGGTCAGTATCGTTATAACCACTCCCTCCAACTCGGCGGGCGCGGCGCTGCCTGTCTCTGATTGGCTGTAGCGCCGCAGTGCCGCTCGGTGATTGGCTGCGGCGCGGCTCGGGCACGCCCCCTCCCGGCGCGCGGCGGCGCTGGGGGCCGGGGCCGGGGCGGGAGCGGCGCCAGTTCCCGGCGTCCCGCGGCGGAGCCGGCGGTGCCCGCGGCGCCTCCTCCGTGCGCCCCTAAGCGCCCCCTCAGCGTCCTCATAACCCCTGCCCGCCCCTTATGGAGCTGCTGTGCGTGGAACCCGCGGCCCGCGCCCCCCGCGCCGGGCGGGACCCGCATCTGCTGGGGGACCGGCGGGTGCTGCAGAACCTGCTGAGCCTGGAGGAGCGCTACAGCCCCCGCGTGTCCTACTTCCAGTGCGTGCAGAGGGACATCCAGCCCTACATGCGCAAGATGTTGGCCTTCTGGATGCTGGAGGTACCGGGATGCTGCGGGGTTTGACCCAAAAAAACCCGGAGGACAAGCGGGGACAAGCCGGGAACAAGCGGGGGACAAGGCAGGGCTGATGGGTGTCGGGCACAGCGGTGATGCCGATGGGGATGGAGGGTGAAATACGCTCTCCTGTGCTAAAATTGGGATTTTTTTCACTCAAAAGCTCTGGACAGGGCGCAGCTCAGCCCCCAGGGGGAAATAATAACGCTGCTGTTAAGTTCCTGAAATTGAAAATGAATCTGCGGGTGGAGTTCGGGGCAGGGTCCCCATAAATGACAATTCCGCAGGGCTCCGTCCTGCCTGTCCCAGCCGGCGCTGCGGGCAGCGCTTCCAAAAAAATCCAGAATATTTCAATTTTAAAGAAGATTTTTTTCCCCCCTTTGCTATCATTATTCCCGCAATCCCCTTTTGTAGATAAACCCCGCTTTGGGAGCGGCTCTAAAAGCAGCGAGGTGGCACTGGGGGATGTCGCGACCCGCGTGTCATTGTCCCCATCGCTGCTGGCAGCAGGGTGGCGTTGGCTGCAGGAGGAGCAGAAACCGCGATAGATTTGGTGGCGGTGGTGTCGAAAGAAGGAAGTTCGCTGTGACAAGTGGCTGGGGACAGATAAGAGCACAGGGCTGAAATTTGGGAGCTGCTGGTGGGGAATTTGTGGAATTTGGGGGTTATTTGGGTGATGCCATTGATTGTCATCGTGTCCATGGAGAGCTCCAGGTGGAATTGCCAACCCTGGATCATTCTCTCCACACTCCAGCCAAAAGATGCACCAAAAAAACGGAATTTGGAGCTCCAGAGCTGCCTGAGGGATCCTCAGCAGGGCACAGCAGAATTGGGGCCAAATGGGGCAAATTCGGATTTATCCATGTGCTACAGGTGGAATTTCCAGTCCTGGATCCTTCTCTCCACCCTCCAGCCAAAAAATGCATCAAAAAAAGGAAATTTGGAGCTCCAGAGCTGCCCAGGGCAGGGGTGACACCTGGCAGGGGCATCCCCAGCAGGGCACAGCAGAAATGGGGCCAAATGGAGCAAATTCAGATTTATCCACATGTTCTCGGTAGAATTTCCAGCCCTGGATCTTCCTCTCCACCCTCCAGAGCTGCCCAGGGCAGGGGTGGCAGCAGACAGGAGCCATTCCCAGCAGGGCACAGCAGAAACGGGGCCAAATGGGGCAAATTCGGGTTTCTCCACGAGCTCTTTGGAGCTGCAGCCGCTCCCCACAGGAAGGCGAAGCCTCAGGGTGACACCGCGGGGGCAGCTCCCGGTGACAAGTGCGAAACAGCGGCTCTGAGGCCGAGCTCGGCTCCCTCCCCTCACCAAAACTTCCTTTTCTCTCTGTGCCGTGCCCGGGGCAGGTGTGTGAGGAGCAGAAGTGTGAGGAGGAGGTGTTCCCCCTGGCCATGAACTACGTGGATCGCTTCCTGGCCTCGGTGGCCGTGCACAAGAACCACCTGCAGCTGCTGGGGGCGGTGTGCATGCTGCTGGCCTCCAAGCTGAGGGAGACCATGCCCCTGACCGTGGAGAAGCTCTGCATCTACACCGACAACTCCATCACGCCCCAGGAGCTGCTGGTAACCCCTGAGTCCCCTCCCTGTGCCCAGTTCCTCCCTGGCATCTTCTTGGCATCTCCTGATCCCATCCCTCTGCGTTCCCCTCCTCCCTGGTGAAGGATTTTCCACCCTTCCTGTACTGGGCAGCAGAATTGTCCCCATCCTGGTTGTGGAGGACGTTTCCTGTGCCACCACCAATTGGTGACCACCTGACCACCAAGCTGTCACTCTGAGCTGTCACTGCAGTGACATCTCCAAGAGTCACAGCTCTGGTTGGCATCTCCTGATCCTGCTGTCCTGATCCCATCTCTCTGCATTTTCCCCCTCCCTGGTGAAGGATTTTCCATCCTACCCATGCAGAGCAGTAGAATTGTCCCCTCAGCTGTCCCCGTCCTGGCTGTGGGGGACATTTCCTGTGCCACCACCGAGCTGTCACTCTTGAGTTGTCGCTCCAGTGACATCTCCAGGACTCACAGCTCTGCTTGGCATCTCCTGATCCTGCTCTGCTGATCCCATCCCTCTGCATTCCCTTACTCCTTGGTGAAGGATTTTCCTCCCTCCCAATGCAACAGAATTGTCCCCGTCCTGGTTCTGAATGAAGTTTCCTGTCCCAGCTCTGAGCTGTCACTCCAGTGACATCTCCAAGGCTCCAAGTTCAGGGTCAGGCAGCTCTGGTGCCCTCCCAGTGTCCAGATCCTCCCTGGCAACCCCTGATCCCATCCCTCTGCATTCCCTTACTCCTTGGTGAAGGATTTTCCATCCTACCCATGCAGAGCAGTAGAATTGTGCCCTCCTGGTTGTGGAGGAAGTTTCCTGTGCCACCACCAAGTTGTCACTGTGGGCTGTCACTCCAAGACTCACAGCTCTGGTTCCCTCCCTGTGTCCCCTCCCAGTGCCCAGCTCCTGCCTGGCATCCCCTGATCCCATCCCTCTGCATTCCCCTCCTCCCTGGTGAAGGATGTTCCATCCTACCCATGCAGAGCAGTAGAATTGTCCCCTCAGCTGTCCCCATCCTGGTTCTGGAGGAAGTTTCCTGTCCCAGCTCTGGGCTGTCGCTGCAGTGACGTCTCCAAGGGTCACAGCTCTGGTGCCCTCCCAGTGCCCAGATCCTCCTGGCATCCCCTGATCCCATCCCTCTGCATTCCCTTACTCCTTGGTGAAGGATTTTCCACCCTTCCTGTACTGGGGACCAGAATTGTCCCCATCCTGGTTATGGAGGACGTTTCCTATGCCACCACCAAGCTGTCACTCTGAGCTGTCACTCTGGGTTGTCACTCCAGTGACATCTCCAAGAGTCACAGCTCTGGTGCCTTCCCAGTGCCCAGATCGTCCTGGCATCTCCTGATCCCATCCCTCTGCATTCCTCTCCTCCTTGGTGAAGGATTTTCCACCCTTCCTGTGCTGGGCAGCAGAATTGTCCCCTCAATTGTCCCCTCCTGGTTGTGGGGGACATTTCCTGTGCCACCACCAAGTTGTCACTCTGGGCTGTCACTGCAGTGACATTTCCAAGAGTCACAGCTCTGGTTGGCATCTCCTGATCCTGCTGTCCTGATCCCATCCCTCTGCATTCCCCTCCTCCCTGGTGAAGGATTTTCCATCCTACCCATGCTGGGCAGCAGAATTGTCCCCTCAATTGTCCCCATCTTGGTTGTGGGGGACATTTCCTGTGCCACCACTGAGTTGTCACTTTGGGCTGTCACTCTGGGCTGTCACTGCAGTGACATCTCCAAGCTCAGGGTCAGGGAATGTGAATTTCCCACATCCCCCCAATTTCTGCAGCTCTGCCTCCCCCCAGCTGCAGAAATTGGGGGAATGTGGGAAATTGGGGGAATGTGGGAAATTGGGGGAATGCGGGAAATTGGGGGAATGTGGGAATTGAGGGTATATGTGAAACTGGGGGAATGTGGGAATTGGGGGAATGTGGGAATTGGGGGAATGTGGGAATTGAGGGAATGTGGGAAATTGGGGGAATGTGGGAATTGGGGGAATGTGGGAATTGGGGGAATGTGGGAATTGAGGGTATATGTGAAACTGGGGGAATGTGGGAATTGGGGGGATGTGGGAGATTTCACTTCCACAGCAGCAGGAAAATTCACATTTTATTTGCAGAGTGAAGCAGCAGAAGTGGCTGTGAGGGCGTTGTGAGCTCAGTGGGTGCTCCAGGCTGCTGGGGATGGGTGGAATTCCTGCTCTGCCCCTGCATTTCTCACCCTGCATCCACAAAGTTCCATTCTGAGCTCTGAAAGGCCGAAAGTTTCTGATAAAACCTCTGAGATCCAACCCTGCGAGCTCAGCCCCAGCCACGAGGGAGGAAATGGGAGAAAAACCCTTTTTTTGGGGCTGAGGGAGGGAGCAGTGACCTCTCCTCGGTGACAGAGCATCCCTGGGGACCCCGGGGGCTTTTTGGGGTTACTCATCACCCCCCGAGCAGCTCTGGTGGTTTTGGGCTGGGATCTGAGCCCCAGAACCCCCAAAACTCTCAGGTGTGACTCAGGGGCACTGCAGAGCTCTGAGCTCAACCTGGTTTTTCCCAATTCTGGGGAAAATCCCCTCCCCTCCAGAACCCTGAAGTTATTACTGGGTGGTGATTGCCTTAATTAACACTCCTGATTAGCTGATGAGGAATGGGGTGCCCCATCCCTGAGGGACACCACGGCCACTCCTGGTGATCCTTGCAGGGTTTAAATCTGATTTTTGGGGAGGATTTGCTGTTCCCAGCCCAGCCTGGAGCATCCCTGCAGGTTCCCTCTCATTCCCAGGCTCCATTCCTGCTGGGAATTCTCCTTCCATCCAGCAAGGAGATAGAAAATAAATTAATTTATTTTCTCCCCTCCCAGGATCCCTGGGTTGCTCTTGGATGCTTTGTAATGTCGATATGGATGAAAATAATTTCATTTTGGGGGTCAAAATTGATTTTTTTTTTTGTTTTTCCAAGCAAACTGGATCCTTTTCTTCTCTCCTGGTGGGAATGAGAGCGCTCAGCAGAGCAGGGGTTGGTCCTGTTTGATGTCCAAGGGCTGCACAGAGAATCAGGAACCTGAGGGGGGGAAACTGAGGCACTGGGAGATCCCTGGGTGTGGAGAGTCTTCTTCCCTGAATTTCCATGGATTTTAACCCTTTTTGGAGCTCATCTTGCTCCAACAAGGAGAAAATACCCAGAAATCTGAAGGATTCACCCTGGCTGAGGGCCCTGAGGGAGTTAAATCCAATTTACTGGATTTCCATGGATTTTAACCTTTTTTGGAGCTCATCCTGCTCCAAAAAAGAGAAAATACCCAGGGATCTGTAAAGGATCACGCTGGCTGAGGGCCCTGAGGGAGTTAAATCTGAATTTCCACACCCCAGAGCTGCTCCTTCCCCCTCTGTGCTCACCCCCTGCTCCAGTAAAGAGGGAATGGAGGGAATATCCAGGGATATGAAGGATTCACCCTGGCTGAGGGAGTTAAATCTGAATTATCCATGGAGAATCCTCTTCCCTGGATTTCCATGGATTTCAACACTTTTTGGGACCATCTTGCTCCAGCAAAGAGAAAATATCCAGGGGTCTTTGAAGGATTCACCCTGACTGTGGGATTTAAACCCAGGTTATTGGATTTCCATGGATTTTAACCCTTTTTGGAGCTCATCCTGCTCCAATAAAGAGGGAATGGAGGGAATACCCAGGGATCTGAGGGATTCACCCTCACTGAGGGCCCTGAGGGAGTTAAATCTGAATTTCCTCACCCCAGAGCTGCTCCTTCCCCCTCTGTGCTCACCCCCTGCTCCAATAAAGAGGGAATATCCAGGGATCTGAAGGATTCACCCTGGTTGTGGGATTTAAACCCACGTTACCGGATTTCCATGGATTTTAACCCTTTTTGGGGCACATCCTGATCCAGTAAAGAGAAAATACCCAGGGATCTGAAGGATTTGCCCTGGCTGAGGGACCTGAGGGAGTTAAATCAAATTTACTGGATTTCCATGGATTTCAACCCTTTTTGGGGCAAATCATGCTCCAATAAAGAGAGAATACCCAGGGATCTGAAGGATTCACCCTGGCTGAGGGACCTGAGGGAGTTAAATCCAATTTACTGGATTTCCATGGATTTTAACCCTTTTTGGAGCTCATTCTGCTCCAGTATAGAGGGAATGCCCAGAGATCTGAAGGATTCACCCTCACTGAGGGCCCTGAGGGAGTTAAATCCAATTTACTGGATTTCCATGGATTTCAACCTTTTTTGGAGCTCATCCTGCTCCAAAAAAGAGAAAATACCCAGGGATCTGTAAAGGATCACGCTGGCTGAGGGCCCTGAGGGAGTTAAATCTGAATTTCCACACCCCAGAGCTGCTCCTTCCCCCTCTGTGCTCACCCCCTGCTCCAATAAAGAGGGAATATCCAGGGATCTGAAGGATTCACCCTGGTTGTGGGATTTAAACCCACGTTACCGGATTTCCATGGATTTTAACCCTTTTTGGGGCACATCCTGATCCAGTAAAGAGAAAATACCCAGGGATCTGAAGGATTCGCCCTGGCTGAGGGACCTGAGGGAGTTAAATCAAATTTACTGGATTTCCATGGATTTCAACCCTTTTTGGGGCAAATCATGCTCCAATAAAGAGAGAATACCCAGGGATCTGAAGGATTCACCCTGGCTGAGGGACCTGAGGGAGTTAAATCCAATTTACTGGATTTCCATGGATTTTAACCCTTTTTGGAGCTCATCCTGCTCCAGTATAGAGGGAATGCCCAGAGATCTGAGGGATTCACCCTCACTGAGGGCCCTGAGGGAGTTAAATCTGAATTTCCTCACCCCAGAGCTGCTCCTTCCCCCTCTGTGCTCACCCCCTGCTCTTTCCCAACGCCCTGAAGGAGGGAGGGCAGAGCAGGGCCAGGGGAGCTTCTGCAGCGGCCTGGGGACAATGGCACATCCTGGTGGCCCGGGGCCATCCCTGCAGGAAGCTGGCTCGCATTCCCGGGCCCTGCTTCCTCCTCCTCCTCCTCCTCCTCCTCGGCAGGGGCTTGGCAGCAGCTCAGCCCTTCAGAAGGACACAGAAGCGCTCTGGAGTCATTCTGGGGGAGAAGGAAATGATGCAAGGAGGGATTTGTCCATTTGGAGGAAGTTGGGTTTCCGTCCAGGCCCTTCTCTAACCCACCTTGGGGTTGGTTTTTTTTGTTTTGTTTTTTTTTTAATTTAATTCTTTATTTTAAAATTTAATTCTTTATTTTATTTTATTTTATTTTATTTTATTTTATTTTATTTTTTACATTATTTTATTTTATCTTATTATTTTATTTTATTTTATTTTATTTTTTACATTATTTTATTTTATCTTATTATTCTTATTTTATTTTATTTTATTTTTTATTTTACAGTATTTTATCTTATTATTCTTATTTTATTTTATGTTATTTTTTATTTTACAGTATTTTATTTTATGTTATTTTATTTGATGTTATTATTTCTGCTATTTTATTTTATGTGATTATTCTTATGTTATTTTTTATTTTATTTTTATTTTACATTATTTTACATTATTTTACGTTATTTTATGCTATGTTATTATTTTATTTTTATTTTATGTTATTATTTTTATGTTTTATTTTATTTTATTTTATTTTATTTTATTTTATTTTATTTTATTTTATTTTATTTTATTTTTTTCCTAAAGACTTTTCTGGCCTGGCTGAGAGGGAGTTCAGCTGCTCAGAGCTTGGGTGGAGCAGCTTTGGGACAGGAATGGCTCCTGAGGGGACAATGGGGTGACAGATTGTGCCCAGGGTGGCCTTTGGGACAGGAATGGCTCCTGAGGGGACATTGGGGTGACAGATTGTGCCCAGGGTGGCCTTTGGGACAGGAATGGCTCCTGAGGGTGACACATTGCGCCCAGGCTGGGTTTTGGGGCAGCTTGAGCAATTCTGCTCCTTTGAGCAACCCAGGGCGGGTTTGTTGTGCAAGGGGAAGGAGGGAAGGGAGGCGACGACGAGAAACAAATGGGAAAATGAAGATCTGAGCTTGGGAAAGAATTGTCACCGTTGTCACTTCCTCAAATCCGTCTGTGCTGAGCTCTGGGCAGCGCTGGTGGGATCCTGAGTTTGGGGGAGAAGGGGATTTGTGCTGGGTGGGGGAGCAGAAATGAACCTGAGCCTGACCTGAGCCCCGGGCAGCCCTGGAGCCTCGGCAGGGACACAGCCAGGGCTGGAATTGTGCCATGGGGACAGCGGGGACAGCATGGGGACAGCCCTTCCGCACCCTGGAGCCTCCTGGGCTGGAATTGTGCCATGGGGACAGTGGGGACAGCATGGGGACAATCCCTCTGCCCTTCCGCACCCTGGAGCCTCCTGGGCTGGAATTGTGCCATGGGGACAGTGTGGGGACAGCACAAGGGACAGCCCTTCCCCATCCTGGAGCCTCCTGGGCTGGAATTGTGCCATGGGGACAGTGGGGACAGCATGGGGACAGCCCTTCCGCACCCTGGAGCCTCCTGGGCTGGAATTGTGCCATGGGGACAGTGTGGGGACAGCACAAGGGACAGCCCTTCCCCATCCTGGAGCCTCCTGGGCTGGAATTGTGCCATGGGGACAGTGGGGACAGCATGGGGACAGCCCTTCCGCACCCTGGAGCCTCCTGGGCTGGAATTGTGCCATGGGGACAGTGGGGACAGCGTGGGGACAACTGCTCTGCCCTTCCCTGTCCTGCCTTGGTCCTGGGGCCTCCTGGGCTGGAATTGTGCCATGGGGACAGTGTGGGGACAGTCCCAGTGCCCTTCCCCGTCCTGCCCTGTCCCTGGCGCTCCTGAGCCCCCCATGACGTGCCGCCCTCTCTGTGCCCTCAGCACTGGGAGCTGCTGGTGCTGGAGAAGCTCAAGTGGGACCTGGTGTCGGTGATTGCCAACGATTTCCTGCCGCACATCCTGCACCGGCTGCCGCTGCCCGCCGACAAGGTGGAGCTGGTGAAGAAGCACGCGCAGACCTTCATCGCCCTCTGCGCCACAGGTAGGGGCTGCTGGCACGCCTGGCACGCCTGGCATGGGTCCCCTCCTTTTTTGGGGCTTCTTTGCAGGTGCTGTGGGATGCCAGGAGAGCAGGGGTGCGTGCCAGGCTCTGTGTGCCTGTGGGAGGGCGGGTGGGGTCCCCAGGATGGAGAATTGAGAATCTGATTCCTTGTTCTTAGAAGGACAATTTATTGATATAATATAATATAATATAATATAATATAATATAATATAATATAATGTAATATCTATTATGTTCTATATTATATTACATTATATTATATCATATTATATTAATAATATATTGTATTAATGTATAATATTATAATACTGTATTCTTTTATTCCATATTATAATATAATGCATATTATATTATATCATATCATATTACATCATATTATATTATACCATATTATATTACATTACATTACATTACATTATAATATATTACATTACATTACATTACACTATATTATAATATTCTTTTATTCCATGTTATAATATAATATATTATAATATTCCATATTATAATATAATATATGCATTATAATGTATAATAGAATGACTATTATATTTTCTATATTATACCATATCATATCATACCATATTATATCATACCATACTATATTATACTATGCTATATTACATTATGCTATACTAAAATTATACTAAAGAATAGAGAAAGGGAAGGAATGATAATGAAATCTTGTGACTGCTCAGAGTCCTGACACAGCCGGACTGTGACTGGTCATTAATTAAAAACAACCACACAAGACCAATCACAGATGCACCTGTTGCACCCCACAGCAGCAGATAATTATTGCTCACATTTCCTTTCTGAGTCTTCTCAGCAGAAACATCCTAAGGAAAGGATTTTCATAAAATACCTCTGTGACAGCTCTCCTCCACCCCACGCTGCACAGAGCCCTCTGTGGGGCCCTGCAGGGCAAACCCCGACCCCAGAGCCCACCTGCCCCTCCCTGACATCTCCTCTCCCCTGTGCTGGCTGCAGACTGCACCTTTGTGATGTACCCGCCGTCCATGATCGCCACCGGCAGCATCGGCGCCGCCGCGCACGGCCTGGGGCTGCCGGGCAGCGGAGAGGCCCTGACCGAGCTGCTGGCCAGGACCACGGGCACCGAGCTGGTCAGTGACGGGCACAGGGCTGGCACCGAGCTGGGAGTGGGCATTGGGGCTGGGAAGTGCCACTGGGGCTGGCACTGAGCTGGGGAGTGCCACTGGGGCTGGCACAGCTGTGCTGAGTCTTACTGGGGCTGGCACTGAGATGGAGTGCCACTGGGACTTGCAACAGGGTGGGGAGTGTTACTGGGGCTGGCACCGAGCTGCTGGCCAGGACCACGGGCACTGAGCTGATGAATGAGTGCCACTGGGGCTGGCACTGAGGTGAGGAGTGTTACTGGGGCTGGCACCGAGCTCTGAGTGGTCACCGGGGCTGGCACCAAGCTGAGGAGTGGGCACTGGGGCTGGGGAGTGCCTCTGGGGCTGGCACCGAGCTCTGAGTGGGCACCGGGGCTGGCACAGCTGTGGAGGGGGCACTGGGGCTGGCACAGCTGTGGGAGCCTTGCTGCCGCTCAGAGGAAGGGTTCTCCATCAGGATAGGACGGCTACATGGGGAGGGTGTGGGCTCTGTGCCTCTGGAGATGTTCCAGATCCACCTGATGTGTCACCTGTGTCACCTGTGTCACCTGCTCCAGGTGAACGTGGTGAGGGAGGGACTGGGATGGACTGGTCATGGTGATGGACTGGCCACAGGGATGGACAGCCTGGGATGGTCTGGCTGTGCTGATGGTCACTGGGATGGTCTGACTGTGCTGATGGTCACTGGGATGGTCTGGCCGTGGTGATGGTCACTGGGATGGTGTGGCTGTGCTGATGGTCACTGGGATGGTCTGGCCGTGCTGATGGTCACTGGGATGGTGTGGCCGTGCTGATGGTCACTGGGATGGTGTGGCTGTGCTGATGGTCACTGGGATGGTGTGGCCATGGTGATGGTCACTGGGATGGTCTGGCCGTGGTGATGGTCACTGGGATGGTCTGGCCGTGGTGATGGTCACTGGGATGGTCTGGCTGTGCTGATGGTCACTGGGATGGTCTGGCTGTGCTGATGGTCACTGGGATGGTGTGGCCGTGCTGATGGTCACTGGGATGGTGTGGATGTGCTGATGGCCACTGGGATGGTGTGGCTGTGCTGATGGTCACTGGGATGGTCTGGCCGTGCTGATGGTCACTGGGATGGTCTGGCTGTGCTGATGGTCACTGGGATGGTGTGGCTGTGCTGATGGTCACTGGGATGGTGTGGCTGTGCTGATGGTCACTGGGATGGTGTGGCTGTGCTGATGGTCACTGGGATGGTCTGGCTGTGCTGATGGTCACTGGGATGGTCTGGCAGTGCTGATGGTCACTGGGATGGTCTGGCTGTGCTGATGGCCACTGGGATGGTGTGGCTGTGCTGATGGTCACTGGGATGGTCTGGCTGTGCTGATGGTCACTGGGATGGTCTGGCAGTGCTGATGGTCACTGGGATGGTCTGGCTGTGCTGATGGTCACTGGGATGGTGTGGCCATGGTGATGGTCACTGGGATGGTGTGGCAGTGCTGATGGTCACTGGGATGGTCTGGCTGTGCTGATGGTCACTGGGATGGTCTGGCTGTGGTGATGGTCACTGGGATGGTGTGGCTGTGCTGATGGTCACTGGGATGGTGTGGCAGTGCTGATGGTCACTGGGATGGTGTGGCCGTGCTGATGGTCAGCCAGGGATGCAGGGATGGACTCGAGGGCCCTTCCAGCCCCATCTGCTCTGGGTTCTGTGGGATTTTGCTGTTCAGACGGTGCTGCCCCGGTTTGAGGAGAGCCCAGGGCTGTGGGCTGATCCCAGGCACAGCCAGGGCGGGCTCAGAGCCCTTGGGGTGCCACACAAAGGGCAGGATCCGTTCCCTGCCCGGGCAGGTGTTGGCAGGATCGGGTTCTCGGCCTGGGATGGGGACAGGGACACTCAGGCCCAGCATCTGCTCCCCTCAGTGTCTGGTTGCACCTGGGGGGGACAGGGGGGGCTGGGACATGAAACCTTCCAGCTCTGGGGGGGCTCTGCAGCCCCTCAGTGCCCTGGGAGGGGGCACAGGGACCCTGTGGGGCTCCAATCTGAGCTTCTCCTCTCCCCTTTGATCTCCTCCCCTGCCCAGGTGGGTTACACTCCCCTGCCAGGGCCTGGGGTGGCTTTGTCCGGGGGGAGGCTCCTGCTCTGTTTGTGCAGATGGAATTTTTTTTGTTCTCTGGGGCCTTTTTGAAGAGAGAATCAGTGCGGCCACCTGCTCCCAAGCTGCTCTGGGAGCCGGGGCTGTGCAGGGAACAGGTGGGAAGCAGGGAGGGCTCTGTGCAGGGAGAGGAGCTGAAATGGAGCCCGGCACCCTCCTGTCCGCTCCTGTCCCTCCCCGGCATCTGCTGTGCCCCCTGCCCAGGTGTGGGGTGCCTCACAAGCAGCTCAGCCCGGGCAGGGCCAGGGCAGCTCCTCCTGGGATTGAACACAGAATTTTGGGTTCCTCAGAGAGCTCCTGGGCTCAGCTCCCTCATTCGTGCTGCTGCTTCTTCCTGAGCGTACCCAGGTGCCCATGGAGATGCCCAGCTTATGCCCAGGAGATGCACAGACCATGCCCAGGTGTCTGTGGGGATGCCCAGCCCCTGCCCAGGTGCCCATGGAGAGGCCCAGGTGATGCCCAGCCCCTGCCCAGGTGCCCATGAGGATGCCCAGCTCCTGCCCAGGTGCCCCAGGGGATGCCCAGCCCCTGCCCAGGTGCCCGTGGAGATGCCCAGGGGATGCCCAGGGAATGCAGAGCCCCTGCCCAGGTGTCTATAGGGATGCCCAGCCCATGCCCACGTACCCCAGGGGATGCCCAGATGCCCATGAGGATGCAGAGCCCCTGCCCAGGTGCCCATGGAGCTGCCCAGGGAATGCCCAGCTCATGCCCAGGTGCCCCTGGCACTCAGGCCCGGGGCAAGAGGAGCCAGGCAGGGGGAGCGGGGCAGGGCCGGGGCAGGGGGAGCGGGGCAGGGCCGGGGCAGGGGAGCGGGGCAGGGGCAGCCGGGCAGGGGGAGCGGGGCAGGGGCGGGGCAGGGGCAGCCGGGCAGGGGGAGCCGGGCAGGGGGAGCGGGGCAGGGGCAGCCGGGCGTTGCTATTTTCGCTCGCCACATCCTCTGTCAGTTTCTAAGAAGCGCCGCGGATTCCTGGTAAGAGATTTCAGGGTGTGACAATGTCCCGTGAGGTGCAAACTGTCACCGGGCCGGGCCGTGCCCCTGGGGTGTCCGGGTGGGAGTTTCCTCCCGCTTTTACAGCTCGAGGGGGAAAAACCAGAGCAGGGTTTGCATTTCTGGCCAGGTTCTGTGCTGTCCCCCAGCTCGGGGGTGTCCCAGAGGGGACAGGAGGGTGGAAACCTTGTCAGAAGTTTCTGAACCAGGGGCACCCAGCAGAATTCCTGGGAATGCTGGGCTGGAGGGCCTGGGGAGCTGGAGAAGGATCCATGTCCCAAGGACATTCACATTTTTGGGATTTGGGACGTTTGTCCTGCCCTTGTCACCCATCTGCAGCCACCCCCTGGCTCCAGGACTTTGGGAAGCTCTGCTGGACTCAACATTCCTGCAGAACAGGGGGTCAGCATTGAGGAGAACAACCAGAGTGTGGGGATTTACCTGGGGAGGGACAAAGATGGAGAAAATCTCCTTTTGCTGCTGGTCAGATGGAAAAAAAAAAAAAAAAATCAATAATTATTTTCATTTCTTTCATGCCCTGCCCTTGCAGATGAAGTCAGTGTCTTCTCTTGAAATATCACGTCTGCTTGCAGAAAAGCAATATAATTATTGTCGTAGGCATAATAAACCATAGCACTGCAATCCAAGAGGTTGCTGGGGGGGTCAGAGGTCCTGAAGCCCTGAGAGGTTTTGTTTGGGAGAATCCCTGGGCCAGGAGCTCCGGTGGCAGGGACAGAGCTGTCCTGAAGGAGCAGCAGGAGCGCAGATCTGATGCCCCATCTGTGTTTCCCCGTTCCAGGACTGCCTGAAGGCCTGCCAGGAGCAGATCGAGGCGGCCCTGGCCGAGAGCCTGAAGCAGGCATCCCAACCCCAGCAGGAATTCGGCTCCAAGGCGGCGCCGTACGCGGGCAGCCAGCCCACCAGCACCCCCACGGACGTCACCGACGTCAACCTGTGACCAAAGGAGCCCTTGGCCGGAGCTCCAGCCCCTCCCTGGGCACCCCCAGCTCGCTGCAGCCCCTGCCCACCCAGCTGCTCCCAGGACACGGGGAGCAGGAGCCTGGAGGGGAAGTTGGAATTGTTTCTGTGTCGGTGTTCCCCGGCTCTCCGCGTTCCTCACGGCGCCACGTCCAGCCCCCCGTGAGGGACAGAAATCGCAGAGCCACCCCAGTCCTGGTCACCCCCAGCAGCTGCTTGGTCCTCATTGCTTCGTGCCGCGTCCCCACGGCTCCAGGGGACGCCGTGCAGCTGCTTGTGCTCGGGGAGGAGCCGTGGGGCTTGTTTGGGGTTTTTGCTGTTGGGTGTGGGAATTTCGGGGACGCGCCTCAGGAGGAGTTCAGGGTCCCCTCGGCTGCTTAATTTATTGTTCACTGCTGGGAAAAGGGGAGGGAGGAGAGCTGGAATCCCTCAGGGTGCTGGGTGCTGCTCTCCTCTCCTCCCCAGTGAAGTGCCTTCCCCCTTCCTCCCTTCCCTGGCTCCCTGGGCAGCGGCAGACTCTCCTCAGAGCTGCCTTTGGTAGCTTAGGCATCGGACTAGGATTTAAGGAAAACCTCTGAACGTGCTGCTATGGTCTGGGATGCATCTCCACTCTTCCAAGGCAGGGATTTCAGATCGTGCTCAGGAGGGAGCTGCGGCCGATCCGCGCGGATCCGGAGCTGCCTCCTGACAGGGTGGAAAACTTTGCTGCGCACTTGAGTTGGGAAAGCAATTACCGCATTTTTGTATTGTTGTCGTTGATTCTTTGTTAGGTTAGGTTTTTTTTATAAAAATTGTTGTAAAACAGAAAAAAAAAAAAAAAAAAAAAAGAAAAAAAAATAATGCTGCTTTTCTATGAGAAATCCAGAGTGGAATTAACCAGGAGAAGCCAGAGACTCCACAGGGATGGGAAGCAGAATCTGCTGCTGCTCCCTGGGGACATCTGGACGTGCGGCTGTTGTCCTCCCGTGGGGGATGTGTGGAAAAGGAGGTCGAGATCTTCCTTTTGGATGGCACCGAGCCCACAAAAATCCGGCGGAAAAAGGTGGGGCTGCTGCTCCTCCCTGAGCCTGCCCGGCCCGGAAACCCACGGAGCCGCTGCCCCCTGCGAGCAGGAGGGCTGGGACAGGGCCTGCCTGTGCAAGAGGAAATGTCTTTCTTTCTTTCTTTCTTCTTAGTTTTTTATTTTTTTTTTTTTTAATATATATATAAATATATATATATATATCAAAGTGAATTTTTAATTTAAGAGTAAAACTGGTTTGGTGTTCACTCGCACGAGTCTCGCTGCTGGGAGAGCCAGAGAACCCTGTGATGTTGCAATAAAATATTTTAAACAAAAAAAAAACCCAAAAAAAACGGTGGCTCGAGGGTTTCCCTGTGCTGTTCTTGGATCTTTTCCTGGGTTTGGGGATCCCTTGGGAGCTCCAGCCTTGCTTTTCCCAGCACGGAGTGGGGAGAGGACCCTGAGGGACACTCGGGGGTGGTGGTGGAGCCAAAATCCTTCCTGCGGGTGAGGTGGCCCTGGAGCAGAGGCAGCGCCTTCTCCTGGAGGGTGAGGGGCCCTGGAGCAGCTCAGGGGGTGCCAGGACAGTGCCAGGAGCTCTGTGCCAGCCCGGGCTCCCTCCTGTGCCCATCGGCCTCGAATCAGATAAAATCAGCGAGTCACAGAAAAGGCTGAGGGGCGTGGGGACCGCGGGGGTGACAACAGGGGGCACAGCTCGGGGTGCAGCAGGGGCTGCTCCTGCTCCTGCCACAGGAGGTGACAACAGGGGGCAGCTGCCCTGGGCACAGCTCGGGGTGCAGCAGGGGCTCCTCTCTGTGGCCAAAAACTGCAGAGCACAAACCTGGCAGTGACAGTGGCAGCAGGGCACAGAGCTGGCAGTGACAGTGACAGCAGGGCACAGAGCTGGCAGTGACAGTGGCAGCAGGGGACAGAGCTGGCAGTGACAGTGGCAGCAGGGGACAGAGCTGGCAGTGACAGTGGCAGCAGGGCACGGACCTGGCAGTGACAGTGACAGCAGGGCACGGACCTGGCAGTGACAGTGGCAGCAGGGGACAGAGCTGGCAGTGACAGTGGCAGCAGGGCACGGAGCTGGCAGTGACAGTGACAGCAGGGGACAGAGCTGGCAGTGACAGTGACAGCAGGGCACGGACCTGGCAGTGACAGTGACAGCAGGGGACAGAGCTGGCAGTGACAGTGGCAGCAGGGCACGGACCTGGCAGTGACAGTGACAGCAGGGCACAGAGCTGGCAGTGACAGTGACAGCAGGGCACACAGCTGGCAGTGACAGTGGCAGCAGGGCACGGACCTGGCAGTGACAGTGACAGCAGGGCACAGAGCTGGCAGTGACAGTGGCTGCAGGGCACAGGGAAGAGCAGCCTGGTGGAAAAGTCTCCCCTGGGTTTGGTTCTCCAGCAGAGGTGGCACTCGGGCACGGTGCCAGGAGCAGGCCAGGCAGGTGACCCATGGCCAGGTGAGGACGGTGGCCCTGTGGCTTCAGGAACCAAACCCTGAGAGGCTTTTTTTGGGAAAATCCCTGGGCAAGGAGCTCCAGCAGCTGCTGGGGACAGGGACAGGCTGGGAGCACGCGGGGCAGAGCCAGCCCTGACTGAGTGACAGGGCTCTGGATTTATTTCTGAGTACAGGAACAAGCCAGAGGGTCCAGGGACAAGCCAAGGTGTCCAGGGACAAGCCAGGGTGTCCAGGAACAAGCCAGAGTGTCCAGGAACAAGCCAAGGTGTCCAGGGACAAGCCAAGGTGTCCAGGGACAGCCAGAGTGTCCAGGAACAAGCCAGGGTGTCCAGGGACAAGCCCAGGTGTCCAGGGACAGCCAGAGTGTCCAGGAACAAGCCAGGGTGTCCAGGGACAAGCCCAGGTGTCCAGGAACAAGCCAGGGTGTCCAGGGACAGCCAGAGTGTCCAGGGACAGCCAGAGTGTCCCCGTGCTGGTGTCCCCGGGCTCCTGGGTGGCACTGCCAGCAGCACAGTCCCGCTCTGAGGGCCCAGCCTGTCCCAGTGGCCGCTCAGAGCAGCAGGACCCAGCAGGGATCTCCTGCCCCGGGCTCCCAGCTGCGTCCCAGCCCTTCCCCGCTCACTCCATGGCTCCCAGCTGCGTCCCAGCCCTTCCCCGCTCACTCCATGGCCGGCGCCCGCTCCCCCTCCACGTCCCTGGTGCCGGAGTTCATCAGCTCGCGGCGGATCTCGGCCGAGATCTGGGGGTGGCTGTGGAACTTGAGCAGCTCCAGCAGAGCCTCCTTCTGCTCCGAGGCCAGGTCCTCCTTGTAGCGCTGGGCCAGGGCCAGCAGGCTCTGGTGCCACAGCACGGGCAGCGGGCGCCGCTCCGCGCGGAAGGCCAGGAAGTGGAACACCAGCGCGTCCAGCACGCGGAACGGCAGCGCGTACTTCTTGTCGATGAGCAGGCGCAGGAAGATGCTGTTGGCACCGCTGTACTGCATCTCTGCCAGCTTCAGCAGCGCCGCGCTGCGGAGGGACAGCACGGGGACAGCTCAGGGGGCGGGGCACGGGACAGGGGAGAGGTCAGGGGACAGCTCAGGGGATGGGACATGGGACAGGGGATGGAGTCATGGGGACGTGGGAGCAGTCAGGGGACAGCTCAGGGGATGGGACGTGGGATGGGGAGAGGTGAGGAGAAGGAATATGGGGGGCACATGGGAGAAGTGAGGGGTGGTCAGGGGATGTAGCCATGGGGACATGGGAGAGGTGAGGGGTCAGGGGATGGAGTCATGGGGACATGGGAGAAGTCAGGGGTCAGGGGACAAGGACACGGGGACAGGGGAACAGTCAGGGGACAGGGGATGGAGTCATGGGGACATGGGAGTGGTGAGGGGACAGAGAAAAGGGACACAGGAGAGGTGAAGGGGTCAGGAGACAGGGACATGGGGATACGGAAAGGTGAGGGGACAGGGGACAGGGACATGGGGACAGGGGAACGGTCACAGGACAGGGGATGGAGTCATGGGGACACAGGAGTGGCGAGGCGTCAGGGGACAGGGACACAGGAGAGGTGAGGGGTTGAGGGACAGGAACACGGGGACATGGGAGAGGTCAGGGGATGGGGACACAGGACAGTTGAGGAGCTATGGGACAGGGATATGGGGACACAGGAAAGGTGAGGAGTCAGGGGAGAGGGACACGGGGACACAGGAGAGGTCAGGGGATGGAGCCATGGGGTCCAGGGAAGGGCTCAGAGTCAGGACACAGAGCCACAAGGACATAGGAGAGGTGAGGGGTCAGGGGACAGAGGAGAGGTGAGGGGCCAGGGAATGGAGCCATGGGGACACAGGAGACGTGAGGGGTCAGGGAATGGAGCCATGGGGACACAGGAGACGTGAGGGGTCAGGGAATGGAGCCATGGGGACACAGGAGAGGTGAGGGGCCAGGGAATGGAGCCATGGGGACACAGGAGAGGTGAGGGGCCAGGGAATGGAGCCATGGGGACACAGGAGACGTGAGGGGTCAGGGAATGGAGCCACGGGGACACAGGAGACGTGAGGGGTCAGGGAATGGAGCCATGGGGACACAGGAGAGGTGAGGGGCCAGGGAATGGAGCCACGGGGACACAGGAGACGTGAGGGGTCAGGGAATGGAGCCATGGGGACACAGGAGACGTGAGGGGTCAGGGAATGGAGCCATGGGGACAGAAGAACGGGCACAGCGTCAGGGGGTGCTGGGTTGAAGTCACAGGGACCAAGGAATGGACAAAAGAGGGGCCAGGCTGGAGTGACCACAGTGACCAAGGATGGAGCACACAGTCACGGGGCTGGAGCCATGGGGACCAAGGTGGGGCCAGGCAGGAGCCATGGGGACAGAGGAGGGACCACAGGGGTCAGGGGGACCTGGACTGGACCATGGAGCACCGAGGCACAAAGCTGAGCCTTGAACCTCCACCCCAGGGGGAGCTGAGCGACCCCTCACCACCTCCGAGGGGCTGAGGGCTGGATCCAAGGCGCTTCCCAGGGCCCCTGCAGGAGAAACTCTTCCCCCCAGCCCCTCAGGGCCTCACCTGGAGTGCAGCACGGGGATGGAGCACTTGCTGAGGATGCTGCCGATGATGATGGCCTCCCTGAGCGTGCAGGTGCCGGACTCACACAGCGGGATGAGGATCCCTGGGAAGGGCAACAGTCAGGTGTCACTGACACATTTCATGGAAAATCCTTTCCTTAGGATTTTTTTCTCCTGAGAAGCTGAGAAGCCTCAGAGGAAAAGAAAAACAATGGTTATCTGCTGCTATGGAATGCAACAGGTGGATCTGTGATTGGTCTCATGTGGTTGTTTTTAATTAATGGCCAATCACAGTCCAGATGTCTCAGACTCAGTCAGACACAAAATTTTATTATCATTCCATTCCTTTCCTTTCCTTGCAAGCCTTCTGAGGAAATCCTTTCTTCTACTCTTTTAGTATAGTTTTAATATATCATTTACTTTTAATATAACATATATCATAAAATAATAAACCAGCCTTCTGAACATGGAGTAGTCAAGATTCTCTTCCCTCGTCCTGGGACCCCTGTGAACACCACCACAGTCAGGTGTCACAGACACATTTTATGGAAAATTTTTTCCTTAGGATTTCTCCTCCTGAGAAGCTGAGAGGCCTCAGGAACAAAATGTGAACAATGGTTATCTGCTGCTGTGGGATGCAACAGGTGCATCTGTGATTGGTTTCATGTGGTTGTTTTTAATTAATGGCCAATCACAGTCCAGCTGGCTCAGACAAAGTCCAAGCCACAAACATTTGTTATCATTCCTTCTTATTCTATTCTTAGCCAGCCTTCTGATGAAATCCTTTCTTCTATTCTTTTAGTAAAGTTTTAATGTAATATATATCATAAAATAATAAATCAGCCTTCTGAAACATGGAGTCAGATTCTCATCTCTTCCCTCATCCTGGGACCCCTGTGAGCCCCACCACAGCCAGGCACCAACCACCTCCATGCACAGCTCAGCCCCTTCTCCCTAGAAATCCCCACTCCTGCAGCAGCACCTGGACACCCCCTGGCATGCACCAGCCCCTCAGGGACCCTGCAGGAGCCCTACCCTTGAACCAGGCTGCTGGCTTGAACAGAGCCTTCTTCAGAGCCATGTACAGGTGGAAGTTGAGCCGCTTGTACTCGGCGATGTCGTCGCGGACGCGCGGCAGCAGCACCAGGTTGTAGAACCTCTGGGCCATCCTCTCCTTCAGGTTGGAGGAAAATATCCTGGGATCAGCAAAGCACGAAGGGATGGGTGAGGAAAGGAGGCCAGATGGGCAGGCTGGTGTTTTGTAACCAGTTTTGGTGATCTGACTGTGGCTATGGGAACGAAAACCCCAAAGATGCCACGGCAGAGGGTCCCTGAGGTGACCTTACCTGGTGGGGTCCCTGAGGTGACCTTACCTGGTGGCCTGGTACATGGCAGCCGCTGTCCACGTCTCTGGCTCGGTGATGTAGAGGATCTGCTCCCAGTTGGACAAGGCAGGGATGATTTTGAACGCCTTGGGGAGCTTCCCACTCCTGTACTTGGACAGCACCTGCAGAGACAGGGACAGGGGCCAGGCCGTGACTGGGGGAAGTGACAGCAGGGACAAGAGAGCGCGTTGTCACCTCAGGGTGGCGGCTGTGGGTTTGGATGTTCCATCCTCACCTCCCTGACGCCCCTGTAGACCTCCAGGACACGGGGGTCGAGCTGGGGCATGGGGCAGCCCGAGATCTCCGACAGCGCCGTCTCCACCTCCGTCTGCTTCTCCGTGATCTTCTCCATGATGATGTCGGCCAGCGTGCGCCTGGGGAGCAGGGACAGCGTCAGGGGGACACGGGGGGCTGGCAGGGGACAGTGGGGGACAAAGGAGGGCTGGCAGGGGACAGGGACAGTGGGGGACAAAGGAGGGCTGGCAGGGGACAGGGACAGTGGGGGACATGGCAGGGCTGGCAGGGACAGGAGGGACCAGGGAGGGCTGGCAGGGGACAGGGGCAGTGGGGACATGGGGGACTGCAGGGGGGACATGGGAGGGATGGCAGGGACAGTGTCAGGGGGACATGGGAGGGCTTGCAGGGACAGTGGGGGACAAAGGAGGGCTGGCAGGGGACAGGGGTGAGCCAGAGGCTGACAGGGATGGGGGCCAGCTGGAGTCTGTGCATGGGGAGAATTGGGGGTCACAGGTGGGTGACACGATGGGATCACATCACATGCGATGGGGGTGGCCTGGGGGCTGACCCTGGGGACAGGGATTGGGACAGGTTGAGGGGTGACTCGGGGGTCCATGGGGCTGACACGGGACCAGGGGTGACTCGGGGGGCCATGGGGCTGACACAGTACCGGGGTGACTCGGGGGGCCATGGGGCTGACACCAGACCGGGCACAGCCGGTGCAGGGAGGCAGCCCCAGCCCGGTGCGCTCACCTCAGGGGCGGGTTCTTGTTCATGAACATCTCGATGGCTTTCTCGTCCTCGGGGTCCACCTCCACCTCCCCGCCGTAGTCCCCGCTCCGTCCCGCGGCCGCCGCCGCCTTCTCCAGCGAAGGCCACTCCTCATCATCCTCCGAGTCCGGGTCGGGACCTGCGGGGAGCGGAGCTGGCTCAGCCCGGGGCCGGGCACCCTCGGGTATTTTATGCTCGGCTTTTCGCAAATATTCAAATTAATATTTTATGTCTTGCGTTAGAAAGTGATGCTGTATTAATTCTCTTAAGTAGTGCGTTAAATACAGTTTTAGGTTATAACAAAATGTTAAAATAGAAATTATGCTATATAGGATACTTTTTTTTTTAAAGAAAGGACTCGCAGCAAGATAGCAGCCACATGACACCTGAATCTTTCAGAGAAAGAGAATTTATTGCCCTCTTAACAGAAGAAACGAACTTCCCATGTCGAAGGCACTGTTAGGATTCAGAGGAAGAAGTTGTCGATGACCAGACAGAATCCTGTGTTTGAATGGAATTTATGCATCGTGCATAATAAAAGTATAACAAATGCATAAGTGTATGAATACGCAACAGACTGGTGTTTTTAAGGGTTAATCCTTTGTTAACGTAGGTCCTTTTTCGGGTTCGTGCTGCCCAGAAAAAGGTACCCGGACTGTCCGTAACTCTTTGTCTCTAGTGTCTCATACTGTCCTAATTCAAATTGTCCAAATTATTATTACTCTAATATTACTCTATTATTATTCTATTACTCTATTACTTGTATTAGTATTTTTATTTTTACAACTTTTAAAATTTTAAAGACAAGCGATTGGCGTTTTTTAAAATTTAAAAAACCAAGCGGTTGGCGTTTTTCACCGGGGGCTCACCGAGAACCGCGCTGCGCTTTCGGGGTGCCGCGGGCGCTCCGGGGCCGTGCTCGGCCTCCAGCTCCTCCTGCTGCCGCCGCGCCTGCTCCAGGATGCGCCGGGACAGCCGCGCGTCCACGAACCCGTCCCCGTCCCCGCCATCGCCGCCCGGCTCCTCCGGCCCGCGCTTCTCCCGCGCCCGGAGCCGCGGGGCCGCGTCCTGCAGGATCTGCTCGGCCAAGGGCAGCGCCGGCGCCGGGCCGGAGCCCCGCGCCCGCCGGGCCTTGGGCATCGCGGCGGGACCGGGCACGGCGGAGCGGAACCGGGGCACGGCGGAGCGGCACACGCGGGATCTGCCCCCGCCTCTTCCGGGGCCAGCGGCACCGCCCGTTCCGGTGGCGGCGCCGGCAGCATGGGGGTCACCTGGTGAGAGCGGGGGATCCGGGACGGGGGGAAAGCACCGGGATAAACTTCTGGAATGGGGGACGGAACCGGGAAGAGCTCCTGGAATGGGGGCCGGAACAGGGATAGACTCCTGGAATGGGGGGGATGGAACCGGGAGAGACTTCTGGAATGGGGGAACGGAACTGGGAAAGGCTCCGGAGTGAGGGGGAAGGCACGGGGATAGACTCCTAGAATGGGGGGACGGAACCGGGATAGACTCCTGCAATGGGGGGGCGGAACCGGGATAGACTCCTGCAATGGGGGGACGGAACCGGGAAGGGCTCCTGGAATGCGGGGTGGCACTGGGATAGACTCTTGGAATGGGGGGTGGCACTGGGATAGACTCTTGGAATGGGGGACAGCATCGGGAAGGGCTCCTGGAATGGGGGGGGGCGGAACCGGGATAGACTCCTGGAATGGGGGGAAGGCACCGGGAAAGGCTCCCGGAATGAGGTGACAGCCCCGGGGACGCGGGGAGAATCTGCGGGCGGAGGATGCGGAGCAGCCCCGGGGATGTCCCGGCGGGTCCCCGAGCCCCGGCCCGTGTCGCAGCGTGTCGCAGGTGCCGGTGGCCGAGGGCAAGAGCGTGCAGCAGACGGTGGAGCTGCTGGCGCGGCGGCTGGAGGCGCTGGGCGCGGACAAGCAGGGCACGTTCGGCGTGGACTGCGAGACCTATCACACCGCGGCCACCCTGGGCACGCAGGGTCAGCTGAGCCCTTCCCCGAGCTCCTCTTTCCCTTCTCCTTCCCGTCCTTTTTCCCCTTCTCTCCTTCCCCACCTTCCCTGGAGGCGCCTGGATCTGATGCTGCTTGATGTGGTTTAGGGGTTACAGTGGCAGTGCTGGGCTGGCTGATCTTGAAGGCCTCTTCCAACTTCCATGAGTTGATAATTCTACAATTCCTTCTTCCCTTTTTCCCTTTCCCCTTTCTCCTTTTCCCTGTCCCTTTTCCCCTTTTCCTTTCCCCTCTTCCCCTCCTTTTTTTCCTTTTCCCTTCTCCCTCCTCCCCTGGCTCCCCACATCCCTTCCAGGCACTGATGTGTTCACAGCCCTGGCTCTGCTGAGCTCTCGTTCCCAGCCAGAGGAATTTCCTGGGTTCCCACAAAATTCCTGCCTTAAAGCAGCTCCTCTTCCTGCCTCTCGTCCTTGCTTTAATTCTGCATCCTCACGTGTTTGTTATGGCATCCACTCAGGGAACAGCTTGGGTTTTCTGATGGAAATTTATAGGGGAAAAGAAACCCTCGGCAGCACCAGGATAAAACATCAGCACGGCTTGGGGTGAGGTGAAAGGAGAACCCCAGGAGCTCCCACTGCCCAGAGGGAGCTGGGCTTGGCCTCTCCTCCACGTTCCAGCTGCCAAAAAAGCAGGAAAAAGCTGCTCTGGAACATTCCAATGGGTCTGGCTGGGAACGAGAGCTCAGCGGAGCCAGGGCTGTGAACACATCAGTGCCTGGAAGGGATGTGGGGAGCCAGGGGAGGAGGGAGAAGGGAAAAGGAAAGGGGAAAAAGGAGGGGAAGAGGGTTAGGGTGTCTCGGGTCATTCTGAGCAGCAGAGAATCCGAGAGAATTCGTTTTTCCAGCCCGAGAGGCAGGAGCAGGAGCTGCTGTAGGGCAGGAATTTGTTTTTCCAGCCCTCGCTGTCATTGCAGGGCAGACAGGGAAGCTCATGTACGTCATGCACAACTCCGAGTACCCCCTGAGCTGCTTCGCCCTCTTCGAGAACGGGCCCTGCCTGGTGGCCGATGCCAACTTTGACACCCTCATGGTGAAGCTCAAGGGCTTCTTCCAGAACGCCAAGGCCAACAAGATCGAGAGCCGCGGCACGCGCTACCAGTACTGCGACTTCCTGGTGAAGCTGGGCACGGTCACCATGGGCCCCAGCGCCAGGGGCATCTCCGTGGAGGTGAGAGATCTTTGGGAAGGGTGGGAATTCATGGATGGGCAGGGGGAGTCCATGGGAGAAGCTGGAGAAGGTTTAGGGGTGATTGAATTGAAGCGAGCCAATGGGGAAGATGGAGGAACTCCAGATGGACACCTGGAGTTCCAGGAGAAGCTTCACACTGCCAGAGGGCAGGGATGGATGGGATATTGGGAAGAAATTCTTCCCTATGAGGGTGGGAACACCCTGGAATAGATGTCCCAGAGCAGCTGTGGCTGTCCCATATCCCTGGAAGTGTCCAAGGCCAGGGGACTTGGTGAAGCTGGGCACGGTCACCATGGGCCCCAGCGCCAGGGGCATCTCCGTGGAGGTGAGAGATCTTTGGGAAGGGTGGGGAATTCATGGGTGGACAGGGGGAGTCCATGGGAGAAGCTGGAGAAGGTTTAGGGGTGATTGAATTGGGGGTGTCTGAAGCGAGCCAACGGGGAAGATGGAGAGGGGTGAGTTAGTGACAAGTGCATGGAGTTCCAGAGGGCAGGGATGGATGGGATATTGGGAAGAAATTCTTTCCTGGGAGGATGAGAACACGCTGGAATAGATGTCCCAGAGCAGCTGTGGCTGCCCCCAGATCCCTGGAAGTGTCCAAGGCCAGGGGACTTGGAGCAGCCTGGGGCAGTGGGAGGTGTCCCTGTCCTGGATGAGCTTTATCCCCAAACCGTTCCACGATTCTGGAATTCCCTGTCCTGTCTGTGTCTCAGTGGTGTTGCTGGTGCAGCAGGCAGCTTTGGATCTCCTCTCCTGAGGTTTAATCCTTGGTGCTCCAGGGCTGTCCCTGCAGTGGGAATCCCTGCAGGAATTCTATCCTGATAAAAAAACTGATTAAATTCCAACTGCAGAACACGAGCACCATCCCTCAGGTTAATCAGGTAAAGGGGATAAAACCTCTCCAGTGCCAATTCCACGCTGATTTGGGGCTTGTTCTCCTTCCCTTCCCTTTGGAAAGGGTCTCTTGCATGTTCCCAGCACGTCCTGTTTGTATTTACCCATCCTTGTTAGATGCTGAGTGTTTTGAGATGTTTCCATGAAAAGCCTTCCCTGCAGGGAGGCTCCAGGGCTGTGGGGATGTGATCCCAGATGGAATTCTGCCCCTGTGAGCAGCTCCAAACCTGTGGAATTCTGCCCCTGACACCATCTCCAAGCCTGTAGGGATGTGTTCCCAGGTGGAATTCTGCCCCTGACACCATCTCCAAGCCTGTGGGGATGTGTTCCCAGGTGGAATTCTGCCCCTGTGAGCAGCTCCAAACCTGTGGGGATGTGTTCCCAGGTGGAATTCTGCCCCTGACACCATCTCCAAGCCTGTGTGGATGTATTCCCAGGTGGAATTCTGCCCCTTTGAGCAGTTCCAGAGCTCTGGGCTGTGTTCCCAGGTGGAATAGTGCCCCTGCCACCATCTCCATGGCTCTGGGCTGTGTTCCCAGGTGGAATTCTGCCCCTCTGAGCAGCTCCAAGTCTGTGGGAATGTGTTCCCAAGTGGAATACTGTGCTTCCTGCCAGCTCCAGGGCTGTGGGGATGTGTTCCCAGGTGGAATTCTGCCCCTCTGAGCAGCCCCAAACCTGTGGGAATGTGTTCCCAGGTGGAATTCTGCCCCTGCCACCATCTCCAGGGCTCTGGGATGAGTTCCCATGTGGAATTCTGCCCCTGTGAGCAGTTCCAAGCCTGTGGGAATGTGTTCCCAAGTGGAATACTGTGCTTCCTGCCAGCTCCAGGGCTGTGGGGATGTGTTCCCAAGTGGAATACTGTTCTTGCTGCTAGTTCCAAACCTGTGGGGATGAGTTCCCGGGTGGAATTCTGCCCCTATGAGCAGCTCCAAGCCCGTGTGGATGTATTCCCAGGTGGAATACTGCCCCTGTGTGATCGCCAACGACTGCTGGAACCTGCTGATGGAGTTCATGCAGAGCTTCATGGGCAGCCACACGCCCGGCGTCCCGTCGGTGTTCGGCTCCAAGCACGACAGCACCTACAGCCCCGGGGACACCATGGTGCAGTACATGGAGCTCTTCAACAAGATCCGCAAGCAGCAGCAGGTGCCCGTGGCTGGCATCAGGTGAGGAGGAGCCCCTGCAGCTCCTGACTGCATCCCCATCCTGCCTGCACCACGAGCTCCTCCAAAATCTGCCACAGGAGCTGCTCCTTCTGGATTTTTCCCCGTTTCAAACTGTGCAATTCTGGGTGTCCTCCGTGGTTTGGGATGATTTGATCCAGTGGTTCTGTGGTTTTTTGGACAGTGAAAGGAGAAATTCCAGAAAACTACAGGCATCTCTTACATTTCTTATTATTTTTTTATATCCACGTCGGTGTTTTGTTGTATTTCATCCCAATAAAAGAATGGGTTTTGGGAGGAGTTGTCTCTGCTCAGAGAGGGTTGTGGTGGTTTGTCCTGCAAATTTCTTCTTCCCTTGGATTTGCTTCAAGAACTCCCAAACATTTCCCTGTGAAAAAAATCCAGGAATTCTCTAATTTTCCTCTTCCTGGCATGTTCTTACCTTGCCTTCATCTGTAGGTGATGGAAATATCAAAATCTGCTGCCTCCCTTGGATCCAGTGGTTTTGTGGACAGTGTTTGGACAGTGAAAGGAGAAATTCCAGAAAACTACAGGCATCTCTTAAATTTCTATTATTTTTTTATATCCACGTCGGTGTTTTGTTGTATTTCATCCCAATAAAAGGATGGCTTTTGCTGGTTTGTGCTGTAAGAGGTAGAGGTGAGATCCTGCTCCATCATGGATCTTTTTTTTTTCCTGCTTCTGCACCTCTCAAAATCTCTGTCAGTGTTGTTCCATTCCCTAAATTCATTCCCAAGAGGGATTTTTAAATTATTTATATTTATTTATTTATACAGGTGATGTTATCAGGGTCGCAAGTGCTTCACTGGCAGAGCCAGTCCCAGGTCTCACTGCCACCAGAGTTTTGGTTTTTTTTGGGGTGTCCCCTCACCACCTCAGGGACCCTTTGGGGCATCTCCTCACCAGAAGGAAGACCCCTGAGGGTCTTCATCACCTCAGCACCTCCTTGGCCCCCTCACCACCTCAGGGACTGTTTGGGTGCCCCCTCATCACCTCAGGGACTGTTTGGGTGCCCCCTCATCACCTCAGGGCCGTCCATAGCACCCTCCCCTTGGCCTCCCCTCAGGGACCCTTTAAGGTGTCCCCCCAATCCCCTCAGGATCTTCATCATTCAGAACTCCCTTGATCCCCCCGGGGTTGCCCCTCATCGCCTCAGGATCTCCTTCTCAAGGCATCCATCACCTCAAAGCCCTCACAGATTCCCCCTTGTGCCCCCCCATCACCTCAGGGACCCCCGTGGGGCGCGTCCCCGCCATCCCCTCAGCACCGCCATCACCTCAGGGCCGCCGTGGGGTACCTCCCGCCCCACGCCACCCCCTCGGGGGCCCCCGCGCCGCCCCTTTAAGAGCCTCTTTGTCTCCGAGACACCCTTATTTACCCTCCCGAGCCTCAACCGAACTTCGGCCCCGCGATTCACAAAGCCCGGTACGTCACGGGCGGGGGCGGGACTCGAACCCGCTCCGGCCCGCCCCCCCCGGCGCCCATTGAACAGCGCCCCCTGCCGGCTGCGCAGACGGCGTACGCCCCGATGCCGCTCTGCCCGCCGCGGCGTACGCTACGCCAGCGGAGTGCGTACGCTACACAAACAGCGTAAACACCCGCTCTCTTCGCCTGTATGCCGCGCTACGCAATCGGCGTAAGCGGCGGAGAGGGAGGCGGGTATTGGCGTTGAGTGACGCGCGCTCCAGCCAATGGAAATGCGGGGCGGGGCGAGGTGGCCAATGGGCGGGGAGGGGGCGTGGCTGGCCGGGGCGTCTGGCGCTGGGTGACAGCTCGCGCGTGCTGGTGATGGCGGTAAATAAAGGGGACGGGGGGGCGAGGGGAGGTGCGCGGGGGGGGACACACGGGACGCGACCCCTCCTGAGGGCAGAGAGGGACGGAGGGCTGGGGGGATATGGGGGCTGAGGAGAAGGAGGAGGAGAGGAGAGGAGGGGTCTTCGATGCTGCCCCCCTCAAAGGGACCCCCCCCGCCGTCCTCCGTGGTGGGGCTGAGGCGGACCCCGCTCCGCTCCCCCCTCATCCCTCACGGGGGTCGCCGCCTTTGTGTGCGGGCGGGATCCCCGCGCCGGGCTCGGCGCCTCCGCAACTTTGCCTTTGTTGAGGGAACATCCTCCGCTCTCCACGTTCCCCCCCTCATCCTCGGGATCCACTCCCACCTCTCCCCAGATTCCCCCTTTATTCTCCTCTTCCTAAAATCCCCCAAACCCCCCTTCCGCCTCCTCCTTGCCGGGATCTTCTCCCCTTCCCTTCGCCGGGACCGTGAGGGGGTGCTGGGGGTCGTGGCTTTGCTGGGAGGGGTTAAAAAAAAACCCTTAAAAAACTCCCTTTAAACCTCCGTGCTGAGCTGGAACGGGGAAAGGGCACCAAAACGAGGAGATTCGGTGCGGGTTTGTGTTTATGTAGGAAAAAAAACAAGCTTAAAAAGCCGTGCGTTTGTGTCCCCAAGAGGGGGGAAGAGCTGAACTTAATCCGGGGGAGGGCTTGGCAGCAAAACTGCTCCAAAATCCCCTTTTTTAAACCTCCAAGGGGATCCCCCTTTGGCACGATCACGCATCAGGGATAACCGAGCCCTTTAAAACGGGAATCCAGCGTAATTTTAGGAAAAAAAATCTCCCGTTAATCGCTTTACACGCAGGGAACGAGCCTGATCCTTGTGTCAGAGCAGCTGCGGGTGGAGCGGCGTGGGGCGAGCATCCCGCTATCCCGAAATGCTGGAGCTGGGAAAGTGGGAAGTTTTCTTCACTTTGTGGAGGTTTTTTTGCTGTAGTTTTTTAGTCAGGCAGAGATGCCTGGAGTGGCTGAGCTCGTCTGGTGTGAAACGAGGCGAAATTTGGTCCTTTCACGCTCTGCTGCCTCCGGGAAGATGCTCCTGGAGCCCAGGGATGGAGGTGGAGATCCCAGGGAAAACCGATGGATTTTTCCTGGAGTTTTCAGGCGGTTTTGGGAGGAAAAAAAGGCAGAAAGCAGCGGATTAAAAGGGATGATGTGTAGGGCTGGAAGCAAAGAAATGAAGTGTTGTGGAGGGGGCTGAGAGCTGAGGAAATGTGGCTGGGATGTGGGAATGAGGATGGGAGGAAGAGCTGAAGGATGAGAGGGGATAAACGAGTGGAATTGTGAATTAAAAACTCCCCGTGGATGCGAGCAGTGCCGATTAAATTTGGATTAAATGAAGTGTTGGGAGCTGCCCCGTGTGGAATTTTCACCAAAATTTGGCTGCTCTGCCCTGGGGGGGCTCCTGTGCTTTGTGCAGGGTCAGAGAGGTTGGGTGATGTTTAAAAAACCCAAAAAGGAGAAGGCAACAAAAGCGTTTGCTGTTTTATTTGGTGTTTTTAATTGCTGGGTGCTGATATTTGGGAGCGATGTGCCAAGTGTGAGCAGCATTTGATGTCTCTGTGCTTTCAGCAAACCATAAATGTGCATTTATCCCTCCCCTGATCCTTCTCCCAGCTGACTCCAAGTGGAAAAGGATGTTTTGAAGTTGGCAGATTCCTTTTTTTCCAGCGTGGAATAATTCCTGGTTTTGTGCAGCCTGGGTTGGTTACAAGAGAATTTTGCTTGTTCAGGAGCAAGGCTTGGACAATAGTCACACATGCAACGGGTTAGGGGCTTAGAAAAGAGCCAAAAAAGCCCAAAGTGGGGGATTTTTTTGGGGGCTGTTTTGTGGCCAGGGATTGTTAGGGAGGAATCTCTTGCTGAGATTTCAGCTCCATGTGGTGCAGGCCTTGTGAGGATGCAGAAATTCGGGTTGGGAAGGGAGTGCTGACAATTACACAGCGAGGACAGGAAAAAAAGCACATTCAGGTTCTGGGTGTCTTTATTTTTATTTTTTTTTTTTTTTGCAGAGGATTTTCTTGTGGCTGCTGCAGCTCTGCCCACATCCCAGGTCATTCTCCTCAGTGCTGAACACACTCACTTGTTAATTATTATTTTTGAGCAGCCCTGTGTTGTCTCAGCACCTCTGGGCACGTGACAAGAAGCTCTTGCTCAGCACCAAAAGTGGTTTATTCACTATAAAGGACTGAAAATGCCTTTTAGATCCTGGTTTTCTTGGCCTTTTTTTCCCCCCCCTCTCTTCTGTTTTTATACTGAAATGTCACAGGGACTCATAAAATGAAATTTAGTGAGAAGATGTTAACCCTCAACCCTCGGAAGATGTTAATGGATTGATTTAGAGCAGTTAACAAATGGAAATAATGCAAAATTCTAAAAAATCCTACAAAATTCAGCTGTTGGTAAGTGTGGATTCCTTCCTGGCTGTTTTTAGCTTTGGGGAAGTGTGAAAGGTTTTCTGAGATTGACCCCAGCTCTGAGGCAAAACAAAACCGAGGGGTTTGGTTTAAAATTGTTATAAATAAACAGAGGAATAATAAATAAGTTTGCCTGTAAGTGGGAGCAGGGTTTGAGGTCAGGAGGAATGGGAAGATGGGGTTGAAGTTTCCAAGGTCTCTCCTCCAACCCTTTATTTTGTGCAGGAATTCTCTCTGGTGAGAATGAGAACTTTTCTCACTTTGTTTGACAACATTTGTGGTTTTCAGCTTGAATATTTCATCAAGGCTTGGGTTTGTTGCTGGGGTTTTTATTTTTATTTTTATTTTTTTTTCCCTTTGGGGAATGAAACCTTGGAAGGTGTTTTTATCTCAGCAGCTTGATATTCATGAATCCTTCACCTTTCCCAAACACCTTCACTTTTCCCAAACTCTTCACCTTTCCTAAAACCTTCACCCTTTCTCAAACCCTTTCAGCTTTCCCGAACCCTTAACCCTTCCCAAACCCCCTCCACCTTTCCCAAACTCTTCACCCTTCCCCAAAAGCTTCACCCCTTCCCAAACCCCTTCACCTTTCCCAAAATCTTCACCCCTTTCCAAACTCCTTCCCCTTTCCCAAACCCCTTCATCCTTTCTCAAACCCCTCCACCTTTCCCAAAATCTTCACTGTACCCAAACCCCTTCACCCTTGCCAAACCCCCTTTCTTCACCCTTTCCCAAACTCCTTCACTTTTCCCAAAATCCTCCCCTTTCTCAAACCCCTTCACCCTTTCCCAAACCCCTTTCCCAAACCCCTTTTCCAAACCCCTTCACCCTTCCCAATCTTCTTTCCCAAATCCCTTCACCATTCCCAAAATCTTCCCCTTTCCCAAACCCTTCCACCCTTCCCCAAACCCTTCACTTTTCCCAAAATC